TGTTTGTTCTGAAAGTGTTTACTTATAATTTATAGAAACGGATAAAATCTCTTAACATATATGGCAAGGAATGTATAAGAGCCCTCTTATATCTTGCCATCCTTACTTTTTCCAATAATGTTTGTTACGTAGTAGAAATATTCTGAAATCGGAAATTTTTAATACTATATTGCACTAAACTCTCAGCATGTTTTCAGTAAAGGATAAAGTATTTTGTTTAATTTGATATAAATTAATGCAGCAATGAAAAATTATTCAAGTTATTATTCTTCGCCCATTTATCACAGTTAAAATCGCAAAATTATCTTTTTTCATATTTTTTTTATCTGGGTACCGAAACAGTCTAACTTTTTACTATTGAACTAGACCAAGTAAACTCAAAACAGTTCTAATTCATGTATGTTTATGTTAATGCTTTTTCATTTCGCACTTCGTAAGTTATCATCAACTGAATCAGTTGGAAAAAAGATTTTGGGTAAATCAAATGGTTCTGTATGTTTTTTTTTTCGGAAATCAACTTGACATTGAATTGAAATAAAAACAATAAATGCCCAAACTATACCTGCACTTGATTCTACAAGTAACTTTATATATGTACAGTTTACAACTAACACCGGTAAGAAGTTTGCAGTAGCAGTGAGCAGTAGCAAAATTATAAAACGTGAAGTTGGCAGTAGCAGAAGCACAGCAGTAGCAGTAGCAAAGTTTTAAAACGTGAAATTGGCAATAGCAGTAGCACAACAGTAGCAAAATTATAAAACGTAAAATTGGCAGTATCAGTAACACAGTAGTAGCAACATTATAAAACTCGAAATTGGCAGTAGCAGTAGCACAGCAGTAGCGAAATTATAAAACGTGAAATTGGCAGTAGCAGTAACACGGTAGTAGCAAAAATATAAAACGTGAAACTGGCAGTAGCGCTTAGAGTAGCACAGCAGTAGCGGTACACAGCAAATGCAGTAGCACATCGGTACCAATAGCAAAATTATAAAGCTTAAAGATGGTAGTAGCAGTAGCACAGCAGTAGCCGTAGCAAATTATAAAACGTGAAATTGGCAGTAGCAGTAACATAGCAGTAGCACAGCAGTAGCAGTAGCGTAGCAGTAGCACAGCATAAGAAGTAGCTGTAGCACAGCAGTAGCAATAACACAACAGTAGCTGTGGCAGTGAGACGTGAAATTGGCTGTAGCAGCAGCACAATAGTTGCAGTAGCGTAGCAGAAGCAGTAGCAAAAATATCAAACGTGAAATAGACAGCAGCAGTAGCAGAAACAGTAGCACATCATAGCAGTAGCACAACAATAGCAGGAGCACAGCAGTATCAGTAGCAACATCAATAGCACAGCAGTAGCAGTAGGAGTAGCAGTAGCAGTAGCAATAGCACAGCAGAAGAAGTAGCTGTAACACAGCAGTAGCAATAACACAACGGTAGCTGTGACAGTAGCAGTGGCAGTTGCACAGCAGTAGCAGTAACACAGCAGTAGCAGTGGCACAGCAGTAGCAGTAACTGTGTAACAGTAGAACAACGCATTTTCGCGATTTCACTTAGGCGGTTTAGAGAGAAAAGGCCACAAACATTATTTTGCCTTATTAACTGGTAAGGTGAAAAATCGATATAACAGGCGGAAGCGCTTATTTTTAATGATCTCTCCCTACAACCAGTCCAATGGGTGTCAAGACTTGTTTTGACCTTTTACATTTACCCTTTGCACCTCATATATATCAAATAGATCACGGGGGAGTCGGTTAAAATAATCGTTCATTTTTTCGGAAGGTGTCATTCGTTATTTCATGCCCCGCTTCTGCTTTCACTCGAAACACTCGACGATTATTATAAATCCGAAAAGTTGTGATTGCTCCGTTATCGGAATATCCCGCCTATTATCATTGAGTTATTTTGAAAATTATTTTGAAGATGGCGGCGCCCTTCTAGAACTGATACTAAAAATTTCATTGATAGGTATAGAATTCTATATATACTGCAATTGTTTTTATTTGAATTCCTGTAAATTACACGCCGTATACAAGACAAAGGCCTGTCCCTGTATTACATAAGCTCGTCAAATAGCAGCAAAGGAATGGTTATCTGTCCACTGCATACCTTTAGAAGAGCTGAATTAAATGCCACCTAAATGATATTTGTTAAGATCTGTGCAGTTGTTGAAGTTAAAGAGGTACCTTTACGGCACCAAAATACTAGTAGTACTCATTTTATTCTGTGACACACAGGACGGGTACGCTTAAGTCAATGTCGGATTATGCCGGAATCCAACACCATATGTCTTATTTATATATGGCTGTGCAGGAATTGGTTTATTCTAATGTATTGGACATATATCAATTATATCCCAATCAAACGATAAGCAAATACCCATTAATAAAACATCAAATTTGAGCATATACATAGTAAATAAGACATTTAAGGCATCAGACCCGTTACCAAATCTAACTGAAATAGAATAAAACGAAATTATACATAACTTATAACTTAAAAGATATATATAGATATAAATTTCTTCAAAACGAACTTGTTTCCCAGTTTCTAAAAGTAAACAAATGGAAAGATTAAAACTTCAGATGTTTTATGAAAAGGCAATTCAACAGCTCTTACATCGAGGCGATTTGTCCGAATGCAAAACAGTTAGCCTTTATGTGAAGGCAGCATGTTAGCACATAATTATAAAATAATGGTTCCATGATAGAAAGTCTCGGTAAACTACCTAATCAGACAGTTGCACAGTTCATTATTTGTACACGGAGATAAGTTAACGTTACATTTCCATTTATAAATTGTATCATTTCGCTCTTTAATCATGCGTCTTATTCAAAATAATATAAGGTTTGTCTGTTACGCAGCAGAATAATGCAATTGCGGTAGCAAGCCTGTCATTTATAAATGACAACAAGCAAATTTCATAATAAACAGAGTGTAAAAGAGGCTTCGCAATTCAAGTTATAGTCCTGTGGATAAACCTGAAAAACATCCATTTACTTACTAAAGTATCGCATAGAGACCTGACCTGCCTAATTGTAATTATCAAATTAGAGGATAGAATTAGAATTTTATCTCAATAGATTTGTTAACAAAAGAGCACATGTCAATGCTTGTGGTTATATGTGGTTATTAAAATAAAAGTTAGTAGTATCTATTAATAAATAACTTCTATAGAAACTATCGATTTTCAAAAAGAAACCAGTAACTAAAATAGCAACCCATGACTTTCATAGCGACTATTGCACTCCATGTTTGACCTTCCTTAGCAGCGAGCAACATTTTACTTGTAAACTCAACGCAGATCTGAACTTTGATATCATATCAACAGTTGATCTTCCCTAACAACTAGGGTCAGTTTACCTGTAAACTTAATGCAGATTTGAACTTAGATATCAATCAGGTGACACATATTTTGAAATAATTCCTGGTTATTATTCATAGTTGTCAATATTTATTATTCATTGTCATGTAGCGCCTTCATATTCAAGTGTGTTATATAGGAGACACTATGGTTCCTTTGTTTTTATTTTAGTTTTTCTATTATACTGACTTTCAGCCACAGGAAATCGTTTTCTTTAGGTCAGATTTCTTTATTGTAACATGGCCGGCAATAAGCTGAAGAAGTGCAGGTAAAACCGTATGATTTAATGGGACATCAGGTGTTTATACGAATATGTAATGTTTACAACTATGAACAATATTATAGACACTGACACTGCATTATTTCCTTAAGAAAATGAACTGTTTCATATATAAGTGTCTAGGATAAAAAATCATTTCTGTATTTGCATTTCAAAAAAGGTATATGCCAGTTCTGTGATCAGCAGAACATTTTAGTGAAAGGTTGGGGGGGGGGATTCCTCTTTGGGGATTTTTTGCGTAACATTTGGCCGGACAATCCTATATAACAAGATCAATTTAATATGTCAGGCATGTTTTTCTAGAAAATTCGCATATATAGCATGAATACTCAAATTTAAGGTTGGTTTAGTGGTCATTTCTTATTATGTAAGGCTATGGGAAAATTAATACAGTAGTCTGACCTATCTGACCTACACGTTAATGCAAACATTATGAGGTTGTCACGACTTATAGTGACGCTGGACCAGTCATTTGTTGGTGACATAAAATTCAAGTATTTCAGTCTACATAGATTTAAAAAAAAATATTAAATTTGTCTTGGACAGATTAGATACTGAATTATAATATCTAGAATAGGTTTGATATATTTTAATGTGATTTATCAGGGAGAAATGAGTACTAGGTAGAATATTTCATTGAACTAGTTTCGATTTTGAAACAAAAATTTGTGTTGTTTTTATTTTACACTTTGAGATCATCTGTTTTTTCGTTTTTAGTTTTAGAAATAATTTTTAAATCTCTTAACATCTAATGTCTTAGTCTGCCATGTTGTCATAGTTATCCTCCTTATCTCTTAAAATATTTTAAAGACAGGAGAACATTGCTTAACACATCTTGTCCACCATTTCATCAAATGACTTTTAATACATTATTAACTATATGATCAAATCAACAACCTCTTAAATAATTATACCCTTGAACTTCCGCATACTTCAAATAACAATACATAATCATCTTGTTTGTCGCTGGTGGTGAAATAAACAACACAAAATGATATTGTTTTTAATGAGGCATGGAAAGCGTTTAACGTCTAAATCAATAAATAGTTATACAAACTTTTTACCATTATACATGTAGTAACATCGATACACATAGACTGTGACTTAGTCCGTCCGTTTTGTTCTGGTTGTTCATTTCTGCTTGTTACATACTTAGTTTACAAAATCAGTTACTTTTGATGTTCAACGTGTAATTTATCTTTTTGTTATAACACATATATTTCTTTGTACCACAATATGTTAACTAATTTTTACTCAGGGTTTATCAAATTGTCGACATGATGTGCAGTTAATATACATCTAATTACTTGATATAACTAAAATTATGTTTGTTTATTTGCATATATTGAAAGATAAAACTAACGTCGAGATTTAATGTAGCCGGGGCTACATTTGGAACATCCCTCGTAAATGACCGTACTGAATATAAAAAGTCTATACATAAGTGTTTTGTATAAACTAAGATAGATTTAACAACTTGAATTGTTACCAATAAGATATAACCTAGACGGATATATGTACAACCACAGAATCAGATATAAAATGTTTGCACATTTCTGCTTCGTAGGAATTGTTTTTTGTATTAAGAATGCGGCTTGTGATTTAGGTAATGTTGAGCCGGGTCAATGTGTGTCGAGATTTGATTATGATTATAAAGTGCTAGAGAAATTATCTCAGTTTGAAAGAGAAATTAAGGAGCTAAAACAAATGAAAATGTTTGAAGGTTGGTCATCATTTTTCATTCACAAATCTTATTATAAAATGTATAAGATGTATCAGCATTTCATTTCTTTAGTTTTGGAGTACGCATATGATCAAGCAAGCCTCACGTTATAATTATACTTTTATTTTTCAGACTTGTTTAGATGACAGGTGTCAAGTGTCGTGCAACAGCTGCAAAAAGTTGCCCGGTGTTGCTATATTTTCTGGTCCTTCGAGACCATTGATTCCAACACTTTTTAGTGTTAAAATTGAGTATTGCTCAAGCCAGTGCTGGGCGACGAGAGGGACGTTGTACCTTTGCATTGCATCTGATGTACAGACTCATTCAATCCGAGTCTGTAAATTTTCGTGTAATTTTGTTGTCACACTTCATTCAGAATTTTAGTTCAAATTACAATTTTTCTATTGTTTGAACTAGATACATACGTATCGATATATATCGATGTGTCATAAAATTTCCATTGATCGTCTGCCATTCAAAACTTCTTTTAGAGTGTACAGAAGATCTACAGATGTTAGAACGATGGCAATAACATAAGTAACGAAAATCCCATTATTTGATTTAGCCTGTTTATGGCAGACATCTTTCACGATTCCAGCACCGGCTTATTCCGCTGCCTGATTTCAATAATCTGCCGAAAGGATCTGTTTTCCTATAATCTATGTATTTGTTTTTATTCTAGATAGTCAAAAGGTTGCGTTTATGGCACAGCTATCAGTTTCGCTCATTAACCCGGCAGTGAATACTGTAGTTGTTTTTGATAGCGTCAGTACAAATGCTGGAAATGGATACAATTCTGGATCAGGGATGTTTGTCACCCCAGTGAAAGGCTTATACAGCATACATCTAGTTGCAAGCTCAAGATCAAAAGCAACAACTAATTATGTAAGTTAGAGACATCATGGTTTTTTACAGTCTCATAAAATGATGCTTGCCTTTACATTATGCCTTTTTAGATGACTATAATATACAGTATGGAATGTAAAGAAAATTGTTAAGAACAGGTAGTTTCTTTTTGCTTTGTTCAATATATTTTGCCCGTTTAAATTGTTAATAAGCAGTTTATCGCAACTAACTTAAATTGCTTTTATAACAAGGGTATTCTACACAGTTTTTGTAACAAATGATACACTTCATATGTTTCATTCGTACTATATCAGATAATTATTGTATATCAAAAATCGAATAAACAATTAATTTCAATGTTACGTTTCTTTTTAGCTTCATCTGTACATTATGCACAATTCCTCTCAAGTTGGTTATATTTTCCTTGACCAGAATTCCGACTACTCACTGATGAGATCAACCGCTATCATACTTCAACTTAGCATTGGCGACACGGTGTTTGTTAAGATCGGAAACAAAGGAGCAAGGGGTCACCTGGAAGGCTGTTGTTTCCATACGGTTTTCAGTGGATTTTTAATCAACTGACATCAAATTCATTATAAGCAATCAAACAGACTATGTGTCAATACAGACTGAAGTATTGTAAGACTTAATACAAAGTTGTTGTATCATATGTTTCATTTAAGAAAATAAAAAGGAAAATGGGGGAACACACTTCTCTAAAGCTTCATTTCCTAATGTTAATATTAAACATGAGTCTATCAAAAATTTGATATTACAGTAAACTGTTTCAAGTCTGACATGCCTACCACATTTTAAAAATTTTCAACATCATTTACTCTTTTAACAAAACTGTTACTTTCTGTATGTTCCCTTACATAACACAATATGGTATTGATATGTGTTTGAAAACATATATGTATCAATCTTCAGCGAAAGGTTATAAATACATAACATTCATGGAACAGAACATATATTTTACTTTGTACGGAGCCCCTAAGGTGACATTTTCCACATTTTTTCCCCGGAACTTAATTATTTTTTACCAAATAATAATTCGTAAATACGAAATATTAATTTCTTATTCTCTACGGTTTCAAGGGGTGTTTTTTCCGTTAGACTTTAGACAAGTACATATGAATGAAAATAACATGATTGTGACAATTGATGAAGTTAAATGCATATATGGTTCTTATAGTTACTAACATCTAATATTCTGCATATTGCGTAGTTTTGTTAGATTTTCTTTAATTCACTTCTAACCGATTTAAACGTTTTAGTATGGGATTTCTAGAAAAGCCTTTTACACGTTTATTTAGTATATATCTATTCAAATCTTTCATAAATAACAGTCATTCTGAGAATACCATGATAGAATCTACACTTACCTTGTAATTGTTAATATGATAAAAGTTGATGTAATGTTTCAATCGTTTGGGTAAATATCGCTTTTCTATATGCATGTATAAAGAAGAAAAAATATATCAATTAAATTAGTATTTTTGAAAGTGACTTTATGATTATGATTAAAAGTCAGAAAATACTTATAAAATACTGTACACTTAACTAACGGTAGAAACGAACTTTTAAACCCGGAGTAGACATTATATTAGGATGAAAATATTCTTAGAATAGGAAAAGCAGTTAGTCTGTGACGTTCATTCCTATGAATATTTTCATTTCAAATAAATTTCATTCATCTGTGATATTTCATTTCGGGACCTTTTTCTTTAATACTTTAAAAACAGAAATAAGTGCCACATTAAGAGTCATACAAACAAAATTAAGGCAAAGAGAGCATCTGACTTTGTAATTCATAGCAGTGTCAGTTAATTTTTAAGTAATTAGGTTAAATTTATTTTGTACCATTGTTAGGAGTGATGATTAAAGCTATTGATAAATTCAGATTTTTATAAAAGTACATTAATGATAATTATTTTTATAATTATTTGTAAAGTGTATGCATTCTGCAGTCGATATAATTGTCATATTTTGTTATTTCTATTTTAGCTGACATATTTTACATAGTGCTGCTATTTGGGGTACAAGAAAGTACAAATGTATTGAAGCAGTACAGAACCGGGCAATGAGGTTTTTCTTAGGAACAGGCAGATACACTCCAAATGCTGCAGTTGCCGGGGATATGGGCTGGGAACCTATCTTTATTAAACAACTTAAATGTGTGGCGAGTACTTGGTGTCGATCTGCAAGTATGAATAGTATGAGAATAAATTGTGAAGTAAATATGTACTGTTTTAAGCAGGCGGGTAGAACTTGTAAGAACTGGTATTTTAGAGTAAAAGAAATTTTTGAGAAATATAACTGTGGTGAATTTTTTGTTCTTAATAATGTTTTAAATAAAAATTGTTTGCTTGAAAAGCTAACCAGCTCGTATCTAGATGAGTATTTGGATGAATGGATTGAGTCACTACATACAATAAATAGTAGTTCTCGGCAAGGGGGAAATAAATTGGGGACTTACAGAACCTTTAAGTTTAGTTATGAAACAGAAGCATATGTAACTGCTATCCTGCCGAATAAGCATAGAGCAGCATTTGCAAAGTTCCGATGTGGGGTAGCCCCTATTAGACTCGAAACGGGCAGATATGAAAGGTTAGCTTTGAACCAAAGAATTTGTCCAATCTGTAAAACTGGAATTGAAGATGAGAAACATGTTATTTTATATTGTCCAAGGTATGAGGATATTAGGAAAGATTTATTTGCCAAAGCAGAAAATGTAAATGATCAATTTTTAAGGCTGTCTGATGACAATAAATTGTCGTTCATTTTTTCCAATACTGAAATTGTAAAGTGTGCTGCAAAATCCTGTTTCAATATTCTTAAAAGTAGAACTAACTGGTTATATTCCTGACAACTGTCTCTTATAATGTTATTGTAAATTGCTAAACTTTTTATCCAACAAACTGAGAGTCTTACATTATATTATTGAGAAATTGTACTAATCAGGGTATTTATAAGCCTGATTTTATGGTTAGTAATATTTTAATACTTTTAATCATTAGACAAGGGTAATTGTAAACTCTCGAGGTCTCTTGAAATGGTAAACATACTCATAGTTAATAATTAGTAACTGATCGTTTTTATTTTATTTTTAGGCAAAGACATTATATGTACAGTCACTTAAATGTGAATAATGTTTTATTTTACTTGTATAGGTTTTTATCTTTCCAATGATGCGAAATAATTTTATTTACATGATTTTATAGTTTAAGAATCTATTGCTATTCAGTGTAATTTTACGGGTTTAAGGAAGAGAACATTTTAAGGATTTTTACTGTAAAGCAATAATACCAGAAACATTTTAAGTATTTTAGAACAAGATTAGCAATAGTTTCTTATTTTAGCAATTTTAAATTGTAACATGCATATGAATATGGAATGAGAAGAGAGGTAACTCTGTAAGTAACATTGGACATTCTTGCAGAGTTGCCTCCCTTCCATTAGATTAAAAATTTTTTAGTCTCTTGTAATTCTGATAAGAATGGCCGTACATAAATAACTTTTACTTTGTAAAATTATGTCATTGAATTGTTTTATATTATGTATGGATGAGACTCAAATAAAGAATATATATAATATATACATATAAGCTTCTTATCATTGTGGCATTGCTAGGTTTTTTATATTATAAATGTATTACTTGAAACAACGAGGCACTCTATGCGCACAAGTATAAAATATAGACTTTTCTTCTTCTTTATTTTAATATAGATTAGCAAATATTTGATGAAATAATGTTGAACTGGTATGTCTTTATTATCCTTATTATGTACTTGAGTTCGAAGAGGTTGCAACGTTTATTCTATTAAGAATAAATAGCAAACATTATACGTAAGAAGTGAGATTTTTGAAGACATGGACTGTCTGATCTCCGATTAAAGTGTATTTATTGATCAAGAGGGATTTGTCCTTTTGAGAATTCTGAGGCAACAAATTACTTCGCAAATTAACTGTTGAACTTGAGGACAGCACAATATTTGTCGGTGAATCAATCCAATTATTCTGCGATACCTATATATAATACGAAATTATCAATTTAATTATAACACTCTTGATACAGGTCCAGCAGAAAATGTTTCATGTCAAATATATTTAGATCAAGCTTTCTTCCTTTCAGAAAACAGTAGTTTTTAAGTGTTTGTTTAATGTATATAAAGAATAAAGAAGACTTATAACCACAGGATGGGGCTTTATTTGCCGATAATTGGAACAGTCTTTGTAGAGGTCCACAATGTTTCATGCCAAATATCAAAGCACTAGCCTTTGAAGCTATAATTGTCCTGTAAGATCTTACCAGAATGCAAAATGAATGTAAAAAACAAGCATGCAAGTTGGTTATTCTGGTTATTTCTTCAATTTAAAGTTTCATATAAACAGACAAATTGCGTAAATTTCATTTTTTTTTTGTAATCAAATCTTTTACAAGCTACGATACCCAACAGTCCCACAGTTCTTTATGCTTGTTCCATAATATTGTCAATATACTATTGCAGATTTGGAATCATATTTCTACTAAAAAACGAAAGAAAATAAAATAAAAGTAAAATTGATACGAAAACAAGAAGTAAAATGTATAACAGAATTGCCTTTTGTACGTGTTGCTAACCGAATGTAATAGTTTACCTTTTCTTTATACATGTTATAGCGTGTATGTTGAATTTAGACAAAAGAATATTCACAACACTAAGGTAATTAAAGTTTACAATTCTCATTGAAATAAAGAACACAATGATTTCATAGTTCGAAATAAAAATAAACTTGTTTATTTACATCGGTCAATTCAATGCGACGTGTTAGAACCATTTAACTGTTTTATTGATACATTATATTTTAAATACACGAAGATTTAGTCAAGATAGTCTGATTACTTCAAGCTCTGCTACATTGATAGCGCATGCATTTTCAAATATTCGATGATTTTCTTCCTTCCTTTTGCATAAGTGACCATTTTTCTTACAGGCAAACTTTCAAACATCAGTGTTAAAGGTTCCATGCATAAGACAATAACCTACCGGTCGATGCAATTGACTTTTTTACCGAATTGTCAGAGCAACCCTGGTCAAAAGTAGTAAATATAGATAATCAGGATAACTCTATAGATTTGTTCACTGATACATTTTTGTCAGTCCTTGAAAAACATGCACAAACCAGAAAATAAACGAGTAAAAAAGGTCACCCAACCAAACTGGATTAATAATGACACATAAAATTACAACATATGGAAACAACGAGTTAAGTCTCTCATATATGATTCTAAGCGACAATATTATAATGTTTCCATCAATCAAAACAAACACAAAGAAATTATGAACTGGTCTAAATGAATTATCTGGTTACAAATCTAAGGTTCAAACACATTTTATTGATGGTGAGATGATGATGATTGCAACACTGTATCACTGCAAATTTATTCAACAGACAATTTGCAAATCTTTACCAATCCCATAATGCGATTCATCAGACTGGTTATGAAAATCCCGAGCTTGTTGAATTAAATGCATCTAAACTTCAGCATATACTCCCTTTCAAAATACCTAGAATGCAGCTCACCTATGTGTTGAACCAATTAAAATCGATAGATATTACAAAGTCATGTGGGTCAGATGGTCTCAGTGTTTCTGAAATTATCGGCCCATATTATTGCTTTATTACTATTATCAACTATATTCAATAATAGCATTCTAAACAATACATATCCTAAATTGTTCAAAAATGCCAAAGTCATTCCTATACATAAGTTGGGTTCTAAAAGTGATAAACGAAATTATTGGCCAATTTCCAAAATTCCTTGATATCACTTATTCTTGAACGTTATGTCAGTTGACATTTAAAGCAAACCTTTGAGGAAAATTAACTTCTCTACTAACGTCAGTCTGGATTCAGGTCAAATCATTCATGTCAAACTGCACTGATTAGAATTATTGGAATTATTAATGATTGGATCACAACTATTGACAAAAATGAAAATTAGTTCAATTTTCCTTGATCTTTCTCAAGCTTTTGACTATGTGGATCACTCTATTATTATTGAGAAGCTTGGAATTTTCCTCCTATTTAAATTGCAATACCCAACAAACTTACGTATCCAGTTTATATTCAGAATCAAGTTCAGTAACTACTGGAGTTCCTCGGGGCTTAGTTCTAGGTCCTATACCTGTTTTAATCTATATCAATGACCTGCCTTTGTTTATGGAAAAAACAGAAAAAATTATTGCTGATGGCACCACCCTTTCAACCCCTGATGTATCCCTTAACCGAGTAGTTGAATCCCTTACTCTATACCGCCTCCGTGGTCGAGGGGTTAGAGTCGATGACTTCTAATCCAGTTACCTCTCTGGCGTGGGTTCGATCCCCGGGAGATGCTTTGGTAGTTTAGCGCGGAGGAAGGTAGTCTAGTACTGGTGTAACTCTCCAGGAACGATGGTTAGGAAACTACCCGCCTATATGACTGAAATACTGTTCAAAAAGGCGTAAAATCAAACAAACAAACAAACAAACAAACAAACGAATCCCTTACTCATGATCTTTTTAATGCCAGCAAACTGTGTGATTTGTTTCGCATGTCTATCAATGCTAACAAAACTAAGGTTATGTATATTTCCTCAAACCATTAGCAAGTTATATTTGTGAAAGTGATCCTTGTATTTTTTTTTATAAAACAGAGCAAATTGTTTGTAGCTCTGAAGAAAAATTACTGGGTATTAAATAAATAACACTTTGTCTTGGCAAAGTCATATTGGTAATGTTCTTGAAAAATGCCACTCATTGTTACATTTATCATCTCGTACAAAATTATTCATATATACATGATCTATACCTGTACGTAAATTGTTTTACAATGAATATATTTAACCACATCTTGACTATTGTTGCATAATTTACGGTAACTGTCGTCTTTTCTAGAAGATAAACTCATTCAGTTCCAAAAGAGAGCTGCAAGACTAATTGTAGACAAAGATTATGACACTCCATTTGCTGAACAAGTTTCTGAAATCCGCTGGATGACCTTTTTAGAGAGGGTTGTATATTAAAAAGATATAATGATGTTTAAAATAATGAATTATCAGGCACATTCCTATTTATTGAATAATTTCATTTTACCTTCAGATGTTTCTACTCGCAATTTGCGTTCATCATCTGATTTTCAACTTTACATCCCTAAACAAAATACTGAACAATTTCGTAAGTCTTTTATTTATTCTGGATCTTGTATTTGGAACGGCCTTCCTGATTATATCACGTTTGTTTCATCTGTAAACAATTTTAAAACTTTATATTTGAGATATAATCACACATGAGGTATACAAATTGATAATCTCCTGTAAGTATTAACATATATGTATTTTAATAGTTTGAATATCTTAAATTTATATTGCTCCTTGTTAAGAGCCTCATGGAAGATTAATATGTTGTTCAAATGAGTTCTATCGTTCAAAAAGTCTTTATTATTATTATTGTTGTTGTTGTTGTTGTTGTTATTATTATTATTACTTTGTGGTGTAGCGGTAGAGTTGTTGAAGGTTCGAATCTTGGGCGGAACTTATTATGACAGATTTTTTGCTGCACGCAATGCAGTTTTAAAGTTGATCAAAAGAAATAAAAGTAATAAAGATTTCGATATGTTATTGATGCTTCAGCTATTTGTAATCCGTACTATTGGATTAAAAGCTTTTCAAACGTATTTGAGTAAGTTATATAGACATGCTCGGTACAATGACGTTTCTTGCACCAACATTACGGAATCATTGATGCGCGTGCAAAAGGTATTGCAAGAAATGTCTGTATATAAACTTTGTATTAATGGCGAATATAGAGAACATATGATCAAATGTTTTGTCTTTGAACAGTGTGAACCATATGTTAAAACATTTATTCCCAAGCGCAGTGCCTCCTGCTCTTTGACTCAATACCGTCTGAAATGAAGACAAAAAAACGATAAAGAACACACTACCGAAACCGGACAAATTTGAGATTTAAATATCCTCAAAAATCAATATAGTTAATAAGTTATATTAAACTAGAGAAATTATCTATCTAACAAAATTTCAGATCACACCAAACATTCCTTCAGTCTAATTAAAAGCAATTCTAAGTATATAAGGCACAAATTTACATGGACGTATGTACTTATGCATAAAAACTTTTATATTACTCCCATTTTCAAGACGAAATTGAGTTAGAAAGGAATTTAAACGTTTTCAACAAGATAGCCGTGGTGCCAAGAGACAAATAGAAGTGTTATAAATTGTTCAATAGGAGCTGCTTATCTGTGTTATCTAGATATCTACCTGTTTGATTAATACATATCGGTTAAAGGGCGAGAACCCCTATAACCATATCCATAGTGTGTACACTGGTTATGTCATTTTAATATTGATTTTGTCTCCTTGCAACGGCACTACTATCACTTATCATCATACATGTGCTTATGGGAGCTGTCTTTTAACTTTGATATACTACTTTTCATAATGCTATGCAAAACTATTTGTCATTTAAAGTACAGGCTTTATTTTTGTCAAATATGTAAATTTCTGTTCATAAGGTAACGTGCAAGTAC